GAGGCCCAGGAAATTGGGAAGGGGAGAGCGGAGGAGGGACTTCTGGTGATGGGTGGGGGGTTTTGGGGTGCCCTCTGGCCGTGTGTTGCTCGACATGGCTGTCTCAGCCTCATGCAGCACAACATCCTCACTTTGTGCCGAAATCCTGGCCCTGGCAGTGCAGTCATGTCATGGCTCCATCCTGGCCAGCCATCGGCATCACAACCGACCCTGCTTTTCTGGCTTTTCTTCTCCAAATTCCTGGGTTTGGTGTATTTTTGAAGGGAGAGGTGGGAGTGTGTCTTGGACGTCTACTGTAGCCTGGGTTCTCCTGGCACCAATAACCCAGGAGGGTCCCTGAGGCCAGGGGACATTGGTGGGAACAACTGGGCTGGAAGTAGGAAACAGAGCCAGCCCAGTTCCTGTTCAAGTTCTCCCAAAATAAGTCATTTACTGAGAGCCACGCTCACTGGGAGCCATGGGGATCCTAGGGCTGCCCCCTGCCCCCTCTTCAGCCCCACAACAAAGCCCCATGGCACAGCCTGGGGGCACAGAGCACAGTGAGCACATGGAGAGCCGCTGCCATCCCTGTTTAACAGGTTTACCCCCTAATCAGGGATGTCTTTAATGGAGTTGGCAGGAGATACCAGGAGCCTTCCATGGGACAGGATGAGGTATAAGTGGGTCCTCCTGCCATGCAGCCCCCAATATTCCTGTGTGGTGGCACATCCCAACCCGAGAGCTGGGGACATGGCACCTCCGAGGATGGTGGTGACTGTGCCATATGAAGATCCCAAGAATATCCTGGTGTGCCACTCTGCCCATGTCCCTGTGTCCCCATGCCCCGGTGGCTGTGCCCCAGCCTGCCCGTGTCACACGTGCGCCTGCCATTTCCTCAAATAAGCAGTTAATCTCCATCAATCATAATTCTGTGCAATTATCATAATAGGGCCATTTTGCACTTATCCTCAGCACGTGACACAGGAGCCACTTATGGCTCCACTTCACGCCGAGCAGCTCCGAGTTGCTCCTGTCCCCAGGGAGTCCCGATGGCAATCGTGTCCCCCACAGGCCCCTGGGGACAAACCTGTGCCCTGTCGCTCCAGTGTGGGTAGTGGTTCTGACAATGGATGCTCATGTCGGGTGGGATGCAGGCATGGGGGGACCTCTGAAATACAGAGGAGAACAAGGGAAAGAGGGAGATCTTGTCCCTGTCTTGTGCCTTCCCATCACAGCAGCAGCAGCACAGGGATTAAACCCCCAAATGGGGACACTTAATCTGGTTTCTCCCACCTTATGGCCCTACCAGCCCTGTCAGCCTCCTGGTTGAGACGGTGCCACAGGGCATGTGGTGGGGGACACCCGGCACTGACCTTCCGCTGGCTGGCGGGGAGCAGATTAGGGAGACTGGGAAGTGATGAGGCACGAGGGGTGGGGGATTAGGCTCCAGCAGATGGATGGAGATCAAACATTTCACTCCCCCTTGTTTACAACACCCTCCTGGGCAGCAATCAGGGATCCTGGCATGCGCTCCGGCTCTGTCCCTCCTTGGACTGGGGCAGGATGGGGATAGGGACACAATTCCCATGGTCTTGGGGTGTCCCAGTGGGGATGGATGGGCTCCCACCTCACTCCATCCTCACCCGAAACAGCACTGTGTGGCAGCTTCCAGTTCCCCCATGCCATGCCATGCCATGCCATGCCATGCCATGCCATGCCATGCCATGCCACACCATCCCACCAGGATGGAGCCTCTGGCAGCCATGGTGCTCTCCCTGAGCACTGAGCTCCCTGGAACCCAGCGGTGTTTGCGGTGTTTACACCACCCAGTAATTACTTTCCTTTTTTTTTTTTTTTAATAAATACGGATGTGCCACAAGTAAACTCGAACGCAATAAAAGCTTTCTGCTGGATCCATAATTAATCACCGAGCTGAGTAAGGCGGCGGGGGGGGGGGGGGTGGCGGAGAAGGCGGAAAACCCTCCCTCCGGTGCGGGCTGTGGGACTCACACCCAGCCGGGAGGGAGGGAGGGGACAAACCGCGGTGGCATTTTCGGGGCATCCCAGTGTTCTGGGGACCATCTCAACAGCCCCGTGAGCTGGGGAAGGGGGGCGATGGGTGAGCAGGGCTGTGGTGCGCCCCGGCTTTGGTTTTCCGGTGTCTGGTTGCTCCATGACATTGGGTGTTCTGCTCCCAGCTGTGATGGCACATCTGGACTGACCCCTCCCAGGGGACCCCTCCTTCCTCACAGCCCCAGATGGGAGCGTGTGGCCCCAGAATGGACGGCAGTGGCCGGCTGCTGCTCGTGGCCGTGGCTGAGCATCGTCTCCAGGGATGTGGCTGCCTCCAGATGGCCGGTGGGCACCAGGTGCTGGGGGCCGGAGCAGCAGAGGGTGGGTCGGGGTGGACATCTGGTGTGCACGGCCAGCTGGCCCTGCCGCCTGCCACGGTCGGGGGGGACGGCCCTGAACCCCCCCCCTCCCCAGGGCGGGGGGTCTCTGAACACGCTGAAGAGGCACAGAGGAGCATCCTGCCTGACACAGGAATCCATGGATGTCCCAAACCTGTCCTCACCCCGTGCACCCTGTCCCTGCCAGCCCCTGAACCACCACGGGGGTGGTGACACCCTGCTGGCATCAGAGACCCCCCTGTGGGCACACATCCCCTGGCGAGGGGGGTGTTAATCCCTGCGGCCTGCGGGGCCTGGGGAGGCCAGTGACAGATGGCAAGTGCGAAGTGGAGAATGACAGTGGCACTGGTAGGGCCAGGGTCGTGGTGACAGGGTCAAGCTGGGCAGTGGCAAGGCCAGGGTGGGCACAGGTGCAGGGCAGCAGGTGGGCACAGCTACCCTGAACCCTCTGCAGGGAGGTGGCACCTACTGTCACTGGGGGCCAGCCCAGAGCTGCTGGGGATGTTCAGACCCTCCTGCAGCAGCTCTGCATGGGACAGGTGTGTGACAGGGGGCCAGGAAATAGGGAGGGGGTGTAAAATGGGAAGGGAGTGTGAAATGGGAAAGGAGTGTGCAGTGGGGAGGGAACTGTGCAATGGGGAGGCTTGAAATGGGGAACGGGAAGGGAGTGTGCAATGGGGAGGCTTGAAATGGGGAACGGGAAGGGAGTGTGCAATAGGGAGTCATGCAATGGGGAATTGTGAAATGGGAAGATGTGAAATGGGGAGGGAGCCATGTGAGGGAGAGGTGTGAAATGGGAAGGGAGTGTTCAATGGGGAGTCGTGCAAGAGCTGTGCAATGGAGAGGGAGCCCTGTGATGGGGAGAAAATGGGGAGGGAGATGCGTGATGGGGAAATGTGCGATGGGGAGGGGGCTGTGCAGCAGGGAGGGAGCTGTGCAATGCTGAGTTGTGCAGTGGGAAGGGAGCTGTGGGACCATGAAATGGGGACCCTTGAAATGGAGAGGGAGCTGTGCAATGGGGAGACATGACACGAGGAGCTGTGCAGTGGGGAGGATGGGGGGAGGGAGCTGTGTGATGGGGAAGCATGAACAGGGAGGGACCTGTGCAATAGGGAGATGTGGAACAGGGAGGGAGCGTGCGATCGGGAGCTGTGAAATGGTGAGGGAGCTGAGTGATGGAGAGGTGTGTAAGAGTTGTGCAACAGGGAGGGAGTGTGCAATGGGGAGGGAACCATGCACTGGGGAGGCACGAAATGGGGAAGAAATGGGGGGGAGAGTTGTGTGATGGGGAAGTGTGCAAGAGGGAGGGAGCTGTGCTGCAGCTGTGCAATGAGGAGGGAGTTCTGCAGTGGAGAGTCATGCAATGGAGAGGGAGTGTGCCATGGGGAGGGAGTGGTGTGATGGAGAGACATGAAACGGGGAGGGAGCCATGGAACATATCCTTTGGGGAGCTGTGCAACAGGAGCTGTGTGACAGCCGGGCAATGGGGTGCTGTGCAAGGGAGACGGTGCTGCATAACGGGGAAAGGCTGTGCCACAGGGAGGGAGCCAGGAGATGGAGAGATGTGCAATGGGGAGCTGGGTAAGAGAGGAGATGTGCAATGAGGAGGGAGCTGTGCAATGGAGATTTGTGCTATGGAGCGCTGTGAAATGGGGTGCTGTGCAATGGTACTCCTTGCAGTGGGGCTCTGGGAGCTCAGCTGGAACATGCTTGTTGGCTGCACGCCTCCGCCAGGCCTGGGCTCTGCCCTAGGCCAGGCTTTGCCCTAGGCTGGGCTCTGCCCTAGGCCAGGCTCCCGGCCCTGTTTCCGCTCCCACCCCGCTGTGCCTCGTGGGCTGTGGCCGCCGGCCCTGGTGGAAACACACCTGGGGAGGTGGGTGGGGGGTCACCCCGGCTGTGCCGCTTCACGGAACACTGTGCACGGCCGGAAAAACATGGCTCCACCGGGGAGCAGGGCTGGCAGGGGACACACTGTGTGCCACCCGGCAACCTCTGAGCATCCCTTGGATGTCCGTACATCCCCAAGGTGTTTGTGTGTATCCAGGATGTCTGTGTGTCCCCGAGATATCCCTGTGTCCCAGGGACGTCCATGTGTCCATGGGATGTCTGTGTGTCCCATGGGTGTCTGTGTGTCTCTAAGATGTCTGTGCACCCCAGGGACTTCTCTCCACACCTTGGAGGTCCCATGAGTCCAGGCGATCCCTCATCCGTGCCAAAATCCCGAAGTCCCGTGGATTGGGCACGTGGCCCCAGCACCCCCAGGCAGAGCTGCAGCTCCATGATACCATGAACACCCGCCATGAGATCAGAGGACACCATGAGGACGCTCCAGGTTGCTGCAGTGACCGTCGGCTCCGCGGCGCCCCCAGCCCCGCCCCCCGTGAGCTGTTTGGGGCCAAATCCCCATAAATCAGGTGCGGGTTGGTGCGGTGGCGGAACGTTCGTGCGCGGAACGTTCGGACCGTCGCGCTGTGTTCGCCCGGAGCCGTCCGCGGGCGGAGCGGTCCCCCGGCGGCAGGTGAGGCCCGCAGGAGGCGGCGGGGTCGGGGCGGCCCCGAGGGGGTCCCGCAGGCTGCGGGGCCTGTGGCGGGGCCGCGGCGAGGCCGGTCCGTGCCCGCGGGACTTCGGGAATCGTGGGACGAAGGGTTTTCCTGCTGCTTCTGCTCTGGGGCGTGCCGTGAGTAGGGTGAGGGCAAAGAGCTGGGGGGGGAGGAATCCGGTCTGGGATAGGAAAAGAATTAGACCCCTCCTTCCCGTGAGGGCGGTGAGGCTCTGGCACAGGGTATTCCGTGGATGCCCCATCCCTGGAAGCATTCAAGGCCAGGTTGGAAGGGGCTTGGAGCAACCTGGTCTAGTGGAAGGTGCCCTTGCCCATGGCAGGAGGTGGGACTGGGTAGGCTGTAAGGTCCTTTCCAACACAAACCTTTCTAGGATTAAATATTTCTCTATTTTTTTTTGTGAGAAGGGGAGAATAATCAGCATCTCAATCATTATTTGATACCTTTCTCACATCTCTTTCTCTAAGTTATTTTATTATTTTCCAAGAATAAAGTATTTTTTTATCTCCTCTGTTGTAGAAAAAGCCGAGTTGCTTTGTATTTATGTCTATAAATGAGGAAAGGATGGAATCTTGCAGGTTGGACTTTCAGTGATAGTTACATCACCAAGCCACGATCAGAGCTGGAATGATGATTATTTCCTATTATAAATCAGTTTGGAATAGCTCAGAGTAACTCCATGGATCATTTTACTTCAGGGAATGCAATTTATGCCCTTTATGTTCAGAAGGTGCAGAGGGGGTTGTCACAGAGTGGACAGGGATGGGTCTGCACTGGGTCAGCTTCCAGTTTGCACTGGTTTGGTTGTGCTGGGAGCTGGTGGGTGCCCTTGGCTGCTTTAAATTCCTCAGTCATAGGAGGATGGGTTTGGACCCTTCCCTTCCCAGGGGGAGGGGTTGGACCCTTCCCTTTCTTGGGGGGGACAGACCCTCCCTTCTTGGACCTTCCCTTCCAGGGGGGTTTGAACCTTCTTTTCCAAAGCAGCAGAGCCCCATCTCTGTGCTACCATGATCTTCCCATGGGCCCTGGTGACAAACTTTGTTTCCAGGTGTACTGTGCCAGACTTTGTAGTCCCAGTTATCCCTGGGGAATGGGAGGGGAAAGAAAACAGCCCCTGGATTTACTTTCCCCTGAGTGTCTGTAAGTCTGCACACGTAGACAAGCCCAGTTCTCTGAAGTCCCTAATGCCCAGGCCTGGCTGAAGGTGCTGCTGTTTGTTGCTCCATTAAATCTAGACTCATGGGAATGGGATAATGGGATGTTTTTGGAAGGAACTGTTGTGAAGGAGCAACAAACACCTGCTCTGGAGCCATACAGGGAACAGGGAGAATGCTGAGAGCAGGATCCTGGGAAACCACTGCTTCCAGTTAATGTCCCGGGTTCGGTTTAAGTTACAAAATGTGTTGGCTCTTTATCTTTTAGTCTCTGCAGAGCAGTGGAAAGATGTCACACGAATTTGGTCATGACCTGCTTTGTTTTTTTCCATCCTGGTGGCAAATGTCAGGGGTTCACACAGTCACCCCACTCTGGGTTTGAAGCCTCTCTGCTCCCCCAGATGTTTCCGCAGTAAATCACAAGTTTGTTTTGCAGAAGCAGAAATTGAGGTCAATATGCAAAAGAAAATATGAGCAGAGCCGGTGTCTGGGTGGAGAAACGCTCCGAAGGTGGAGGGGAGAGACTGCGGGGTTACAGAAAAACAAACACTTGAGCTGGGTAAAGCCCTGCTCAGCAATTCCCTGGGGAGCTGCCAGCCTAGATCCCTTTTGTTTCAGCTCCTCCCCACAGTGGGGAGCTGAGCTGGGAGGCTGTTTGAGCCGAGCTGCTCCACTAATAGGTATTTATCAAAAAAATTGTAGGAAATCAAGTTGTGATTGCTGGTGCCAAGGAAGTGTCACGGACACTCTCAGAGAGTGAGGACTTGTCATCCTTTGGCTGTTTCCTCTTGTCATGGAATCTCTCTGGGGATATTTTGGTGGTAATTGGATTCTGTGCAGTAAATCCCTCTCTCCTGCCACAGGCCTGTTCTCTCCTCTTTGCTCCCCATTGCTGAGGGCTCTATGGAGAGGGTGCTGCTTCCTGCTGAGTTCCCAGACAGAGCTCTAGGCTGTGCAGAGGGAGTTAGGATTCTTCATGGAATCATGGAATGGTTTGGGTTGGAAGGGACTGAGGGGATACCTCAGAAAAATATTAGGAAAAAATTCTTCCCTGTGAGGGTGGTGAGGCCCTGGCACAGGTTGCCCAGAGAGGCTGTGGCTGCCCCATCCCTGGGAGTGTTCAAGGTCAGGTTGGACAGGGCTTGGAGCAACGTGGGCTACTGGAAGGTGTCCCTGCCAATGGCAGGAGTGGGACTGGATGAGCTTTAAGATCCCTCCCAAACCATTCCACGATTCTATGAAAACTAGGTCATAATTTAAGTTAGCTGGTTTTTACGGATGTGGAGGCTGTGCAGGGAAGGGTCTCAGGCTCCTGTTTCATCCAGGCACTGCCCAGCGTGCCAGGGATATGACAGCCTGAAGTGGGGACATCAATAATACAGTGGATGTTATTCAAATGAAGGCTGCCACTTCTCCTTGGTGGGAATAACCCCCTGGGTAATCTCTGCACATACTTATCTGCTCCTGTAATTGCTTTCTGCAGAATCACTCCAAAACAAGTGGTGCTGGCGGGATGCTGCTCTCCCTGCTCTTCCCTCGGCTGAGCCGGCCCCTCTGGAGCCGTGTCCGGGACCTGTCCTGCTCCAGATGGGGGTGGAAGAGGGCTGGCTGTCCCCACAGGGGTCTGCAAACAGCCTGGGCCACCTGCAGCAGTGACGTCAACCCTGTCTTCACCAGGGCTTTGGCTTTCGGTGACAAAATTGCCATCATTGACCAAAACAGGGAGCACACGTACAGAGACCTGCTCGGCCAGAGCCTGCACTTATCCCGGGAGATCTGTAGAGTTCTGGAGTGCTCCAGCAGGGACTTGAAGGAAGAGAGGATCTCATTTTTGTGTCCCAATGATGCCTCGTACGTGGTGGCCCAGTGGGCCTCGTGGATGAGCGGGGGCATAGCGGTGCCCCTGTACAGGAAACACCCCGTGCCAGAGCTGGAGTACGTGATCCAGGATTCCCAGAGCGCTCTGGTTATCGCAGCTGAGGAATACGTGGGGAAAATAGCCCCTATTGCTGAGAAACTGGGAATCCCAATGCTGCCGCTTCCCAAGTCCCGTAGTGATGGATCCACAGGCCATACAGCTGTGGAAGAGGGTCCCTTGACAGCCTGCTCCTCGTGGAAAGACAGAGGAGCCATGATCATCTACACCAGCGGGACAACGGGGCGGCCCAAGGGTGTCCTCAGCACCCATGAGAACGTGCAGGCTGTGGTGAGTGCTGCTCCCCCTCCAAAGTCTTGGATTTTGGAGTTGCAAACACACCTTCCCGCTATCAAATTCCTGCAGGGAGCTATGAGGCTGTAACTCAGAAATCCTCAGCACTTGGAAAGTGAACAGCCAGCAGCGTTTGAGGCTCTAAACCTTGGTCTGGTGGTGTTGCTGCAGCTGCATCCCAGGGCAGGTGGACTCTCCTCCCTACTTTCCTGGAAAGCAGAAGGGATGAGACCTGTGGCAAAAAAACTCATTTCTTTGCAGTTTGCTTTTCTACGCTGTGACTAGGAAAGAATCTTTTCTCCTGACTGGAATGTATCTTAGCCCAGCCCAGTGCTGTGTGAAGCCTGTGCATTATTCAGGTCTGTATCCCCAAGGCAAAAAATCCATTAGCTCTCAGAGCCAAAAGGAATTAAAAGTTTGAATGAGCCTGCTGACTACATCACCACTTGGTTATCAGTGCCTGCAACTGCTAGACTCCCGCCATTAGGGAAAAAGGGCAGGGAATACAGCAGGCCTTAGGGATAGCTCTGGGAGCTGACGTTGTTCTGGGCGCTCAGATACCACAGTGTCGGGCGTGGAATGAAAGCCTTGATGGATAGAGCCAGGGCTTGGCTATATTGGGCAAAGAATCTCTTCCCTTACAAATATGCTGATCATTTGGGGGTGGCCTGAGCAGTTCCCATCCTTTGTACTGTCCTCCAGAAAGCCTTAAAGCTGCTCCCTGCACTGTGGAAGAGGATTGTGAGGAACACGACCAAATTCCACTATTCAAATGCTTTTTTATTTTTGGGTGGCTGGAAATAAGTTTTCCAGTTGCCAGCACTGGGCTCTGAAGGGCATGGTCGCCCCGAAACCTGATAATTATCCCTTCAGAGCAGAGTTTTTTGGGAGCTTGTTACATCAACATTTTTTACTAACATGAAACCTACTTTCTGCTTATCAGTGATTTTCTGGTCCTACTGTTTATCCCTTACAGATGCTAAAAGCCTGGTGTCATCAGTGTCCAAACAGTCAACAGAATTCTGGGAAAATTAGTTTTTTGATTACTATTGCTGCTAAGTCTGCATGTGTAGCAGCAGGCTGATATTTTTGTAGGCCCTGCTTAAAATCACTGTTGACTATTTCTCAGCAACAAGGAAGGGCTTTGCTGATATATAAAGATGCAAAAGGTGTTCCTCTTCTGTTCTGCTGTTGTGGTGGGAATTTTGCTCGTGCTGATCCTAAAGGAAAGATTCTGTGCCCAGGCAGGTCTGGGATTCCTGCCGGCAGCCATGCCCAGGGATTTGGGGTTTGGATACCTCAGGAGAATCCTTCCTCCTGCCCTAACACTGTGTTGTTTGTTTTGCTCTGCAGACCACAGGGCTGGTTGAAAAATGGGAGTGGAAGAAGGAGGATGTCATTCTGCACGTGCTGCCTTTGCATCATGTCCACGGGGTGATCAATAAGCTCCTGTGTCCTCTGTGGGTGGGAGCGACGTGCATCATGTTCCCGGAATTCAGCGCACAGATGGTGAGCCTGGAGGGATTGAGCCTTGCCTTTGAAATTCAGCAGCAGGACCCCGTGCATTGTAATTAGAGCAACTCTGGAAATAAGTTCTTTAAGAATTCCAGGCTCTTTAGCCACTGGCTGTGTGTGGTTCACAGCACTCAGTCCGGGGTAAATGCTATTCCAGAGGCTGCAGCTTGTTTAAGCGTGACGTACTTAACATTGCTCCTCCTCGTGGGGCTGGGGGTCTCTGGCTGCTGGTGGGCCCTTCCACGGACCCTAACTCTGGGTGCAAATGCTCTTGGTGGGTTCTTAATTTTTTTAGTGCCAGGAAAGGTGGAAATGCTGGATTCTTCTCTTGGGTGCTGCTTGTAGCTGTGCTGCTTGTTGGCTTTTTTGATACCTTGCATTTCACAGAATCACAGAATCATTCAGGTTGGAAAAGATCTCCGAGATCGAGTCCAATCTGTGAGCAATCACCACCTTGGAACTAGACCAGAGCACTGAATGCCATATGCAGTTGTTTCTTGAACACCTTCAGGGATGGTGATTCCTTGGGCAGCCCACTCCAAATTTTTCCCTTCCAATCCTATATCTGTAGTGTTTTGTATGACATTACGTGACAGAACACAGCCTTTAGAGTTTCTTGCAGCTCAGGTAAGAGAAATACTGGTTCTCCTCACGTGCATGGAAACATTGCTCTTCCTCTGTGGAGAAACAAGTGTTAACAGAGCTGTTGGTTTGGACTCAGTGATATGAGAGAGTCTGCAAATCCAGACCTTCTCGCAGCTTTTAGGAAAGGTGGCAGGAGGGAAACCTTACCTGAATGATGCATTTATAATGTCGTTTTGTAGCTGAGCCAGGAAACACCAGTCCCAGTGTTCTGCTTCTCCTTTGTTCTGTGCAGCAGTGGCAGGTAAACGATGTAAAGAGAGGATGAAAAGGGACTAGAAACAGGGCAAGCAGCAGGAAGATGGAAAAGGTTCTACAGTTCCCAGCTCCTGGGGTCCAGCACCATTCATCCACATCTCCCAGTGTCGTGGATGGTGTCTGCAGTGTCACTGTTAAGGGATAATTGGGTTTTCAGGTGCTGCTGCCTCCTCGTAGCAGAAGGGAGATGTGTGGTGTCACTGCAGAATTCCGTGGGAAAGTGAAAGGAGCCTGTCAAGCCTGTGCTGTGTAACTAAACAGGCTTTTCTACCTGTTTGTGTTTGTCCATACACTTGTCATACTGGAAGGACAGTTGTGGGATACACCTGGAAGCCTCTGGCAGTGCTGCTGCCACGTGAGGGTGAGCCCTGGCTCCGATCTGAATGATGGCAGGACCGGGGAAGTTCTTCAGTGCTTATTTCTGCTTCTCAGAGAAGCAACCACAGAAAATGGACACTTCCTTCCTCGTGTCAAGATGGCTCTGACACCTAAACACTGATCCTTTGGGGTGGAACAGCTCCAGAATCCCAGAGGGGCAGCTCTGCACTCAAATTTCAAGAGTAAATTGGTAGGATGCTGCAGTAGAAGGCGGCAGGAAAGTCCCCCGGCAGCTGTAATCAGTGCTCTCTCCTTGATGGATGCTGCCAAATTGTCCTCCCGTGACCTGAGGGTGTGACCCCAAAAGCTTGGGGTGCGGCAGGCGTGTGCTGGAGCTGGGAGCGTGGCCAGTGCTGGGAGGCAGAGCTGGTGCTGGGATCCTGGAACCAAAGCCTCTGGAGGGCGCGTTGCTCCACGTCCTGTGCCACCGGTGATTGATGGTCCCTTGTCCCCTGGTGTTTTTCTCTGCTCTGCAAATCAATGAGCTGACGTTGAGGGATGGGTTCAGGATGGGGGAGTGGGACACCCCTCCTGCCCTCCCTGATCCAAGCTCTCCCCAGACGTGTCCAAGGGCACGCAGGGACAGCGCCGGTGGCAGCCGCTTGACCCTGGAGCTTGAACTTGGGCAGGGAGGTTGGGGTGCTGTTCTGGGACCTCTCAGGTGCACTGGGGCTCTGAAGGACGTCATTTGCTTTTCTATTTTTTGTATTCCCTTTATTTTTCCGAGGGCCTCCCCTGGGAGCTGCAAGTGGTTTGATCGACACTACAAAGCGAGCACAGGAGGGTAAATAAGGCTTTCTTGTGGAGTTTAATGCAAGCTGCCTTTCAGTTCCACTCTATTTTCACCAGCTGTTTACAAAATGCCCTTTGCTACTGAAATCAGCTTTCAGCAAAGCAGCAGTGGAGGATTTTGCCAAAGGAGCCCAAGTTTTGCCGTGTGCTTTTTTTCCTTCGCTGCACCTTGAGAAAGCAGCCAATTATAGTGTGATATAAAGAAACTCGACTGGCAGCTAAAACACTTGACAGGCTGATCAAAACAAGGCGAGGAACTTACTCTCAACCTGCTGCAGACATATTTAGCCTTGAGTGATACTGGCAAAGGTTCAAGAGAAACCGCAGCAGCACGCCCGATGTGTGTTTGGTTTCTAATCACTAACACTTCATTATACAAAATAAATACTTTATTATTACAGTGTTTATTAAATTACATAATTTGCGGCATGCCTCATAGTCGTGGATGCAGATGGCAGTCTGGGTTTGGTGGTGGGAATAATGCTCTTTTTTTTTTTTCCTGAGAAGACAGTTCCAGCCCCAGACCAAGGCTTGCTTGTCGTTCCCTGCGGTGCAGTGTTAGGAGGTGGCAGCTTTCAGACCTTTCCGTCTGTTTTTGGGAGCTGGCCAAGGAAAGGTGAAAAATCAGGACTGTGGAGTAGCCCCAGTGTCCTGACCAACGTCCTCTCCCTCACTAAAGCAGCATCTGATGTCTGTGGCTGCACACAAGCTACTGCTGAGGCCATGAGGACTTGTTAAATTGTACTGAGGTGCCTCAAGCGTGAAAGTTGCTGCATAAAATCAGATTCTTTTTATTAAATGAGGACATCCATTACTCTGCACCAGCTACTGTACATGTTATAATTCACTTTATAGCACCATCTGTTAAGACTGTCTTGCTTAAGCTTTTTGTAGCATCTTTTTATTGCAAGTTATTAAAAAATATGGCTGCATCTATTAATCATTTATTAATAAAGGGTTTATAAATGGACCCTTACTTTCCAGAATTAGTCGACTTGTACGTGACATGCAAAGTCCTCTGGTGCTTGTACTCCATGGGGTGGAGTGTCTTTACAGGGAGCCCTTCTCTGCCTGGGGGCCATGGGAGCAGCATCCACTGTGCCTGTCTGTGCTTCTGGGCTTGGAAATGGCAGGGATGGTTGAGAGGGAGAGTTTTCAGCACTGCTGTGGGCACAGAGCAGGCAGGAGAACAGCAGTGAGCCTGGCAGTGTGTTCCTCCCAGCAGCTGTGTGGGGCACAGCTGGCTGTGATATAATTATTTTAGTGTTTTTCAAGGGTGAGAACTGGGAGGGCAGAAACCTCCTCTGGAGCCAGAGCAAGCTGCAGCCTCAGCATCCCTACATGATCCTCCCACCATAACCTGCTTCCAAGCTGAGTTTACTTCTCCAGCTGTGCTGTTCCTGTTTGCATTCCTCAGCTGCTGCTGACCCTATCCCAGGTGCCAGCTTTTTGCTTGTGCAGGAGGAGACATTTAAAAGATTTTTATGCAGGTTTTGTGCACTCTGGTGGCCAGAGGAGAAGAGATCAATGCTTTCATTAAGGGAGAACTGCAAAGTGAGCCTTCTCCTACTGGGCAGCAGAGAAAGCCTGTGACCAAGTGCTTTTTGGAGGCTTCTGGGCTTGCACCAAGCACTCACTAGAGCATCCATTTCCAGGGGCTCCCTTCCTGCAGCAGTTCAGGCTGCTGAGGCTGAGCACTCCCTGTGTGGTGACTGTAGCTCCATGGAAATGTCAGTGAGTCTGGAGAGATGGAGTGAGGAGAAGCTGTGTGCCCTCCATGCAGCTGCTCTTGCTGTAACAGTCACATGTTGACGTCCCCATTCCAGACCAGGACCTGGCTGTGCCAGGTACCCTATAGACAGGAGCATTTTGAAGCAAGTCATGAGGTCAGTCAGACAGCAGTTCAGCCTCTGCTGAGGCTTTTGGCCGAAGAGGATCCATTTTGAGTTTGAACAACAGGAACAGCTTATCTTTGCCTTGGACCATCCTTGCTCTTGCCTTAAGGGAAAGATATTCTAATAGGAAAAGGCTCCCTGTCAGCTTTGCATTGATAAACACAAGATCAGATTCCAGGAGGTCTTCCAGTCTTTTGTGCCGAGTGGGAAATAAAAGTATTCAAAAACCTGAAAGAAAAAGCTTGCTCTGATGAGTGATGGGAGAAGCTTATGGAAATCTCCACTCCAGTGACCCAGTTGTGGCGTGTGCTGCCCGCTCGGCTCTGCCGGGCAGGTTTCAAGCTGTGATGTTCTGCCTGTGCAGTGACAGCCCTGGCTGTGCCCTGAAAACCCTTCCATGATAAATATGCCAAGATGCAGATTTACTACCCTACAGTTGCAAAGAGCTGCTGTTTTGGTGCCAGCCTCACTGCGTGTGTGACTTAAGGTGCCTCTGAGGATCAAACCCTCTAAAAACCATACCCTGTTTTACAATGTCGCATGCAAAGCCATCAAAATCATCTTAATTAGACCCTTCTTTCTAGGGAACTAGGACTGCTGAGTGCCCAAAGGTGGTGTGTGATTTGGGACAAGCTTGCCCTGACGTGCTGTGGGTGTGCTGTCACCTGTGGCACCTTTTCCCGGTGGTGGGAGGGAGCTGCAGACCTGGCACTCGTTGAGGTTGTGTGTGAGGTGTCGCTCCAGGGTCGCTGCTGCATCTTATGTGGTCACAGCCCTGACTTCCCAAAGGCCAGGAGAGCCTGTGCTACGTCTGGGAGCAAACTTTGTCCTTGGCTCTGCTGTTATCTGTGTGAGCCAGGCTGGGCTGATTCTTTATACCTTGGCTGGGCTGCATGGGGAGATCCAGGGCTTGGCAGCTCTGGTTGCCTCTGGGAAGGAGAAGCGTGTACCACACTGAGCCTCTCCCCTGGATCTGTCACTTCTGCAAACATCACTCTGGGCAGCTCTTTTAGTTTATTTTTAAAAGAAAAGCAAATCCAAGCACAGGCATCTGAGCTCCAATAACCAAATGTGCTGGGGATCGTGGCTCCCATCCAATTTCAGCTGGAGAAAGGCTGGAAGTCTTTTCATCCATTAATGGGAGGCTTCAGAGGAGTAATTTTATTTCAGACTCAAAGAGGAGTTGGTGGAGGGAGGAGCAGGTCACTAGTGAATGGATTATGTTTGATCACTTCTCACAGACCTGGCTTTAAAAAGTTAGAGGTTTTCTTCCCATCTCCCCAGATCTGCCGTCTGTCCTCAGCATCTGTTCCTAAGTAATGGCTTTTGATGTGTGTGGGGAAATACAAAAAATGGAACCAGAGCCTGTCATATTTACTTATATTTCCAGGTCCCAGGGAAAGCACTTGCTCCTTTCTGTATGCCTCCAGCATAGGAAGGGTTTAAAAGCTTCAGCCTGGAATGCAGAGGGGCCGTCAAACTGCGCTGATGAATAAATGATTAAAACCAGAGTCACGCAGAGCGTGAACAGTTTGGGGTTATAACAAACATGAGACAAAGCCACCGAGGGCCCAATTTCCCTTTGAAGAGAAGAGTGTTTCTCTCTTTCTGCATATTGCTCGTGAAGTGTCGGCTGCTCAGTCCTTGGGAGTGAGCAGAGCTCCCCTTGGTGCTCTCTCATCTCATGTCATGCCCGTGTGCTTTTTGGGGATAAATTGCTGTCAAATTTGTGAGCGTGGTCCTGCCGTCCCTTTGCTGCTGCTGTTGAGTTACAGGAGCTTCCTACCCTCGATGTTTGGCACAGGATCTCCCCAAATGAGCAGCTGCTTTGGCTACAGCCTTGTTGTGCCTGTTGCTCTCACAGACACTCTGGAAAACACGGTCAGCCCTCTTCCTTGCTGATGCTTCCCACATGGCAGTAGTCAATGTAAAACACAGACCCATCTCCCTGAGCAAAAGGGAAGTAAAGGGATGAGTTAACCTTGCATTAGGGGGATTGTTACTTTTGAAAAGGTTGAGAAAAATTCAATAACAACTGAAAATGGTACAATAATTTTATAGGAGAGAGGAGCTGTTGTGTCTGTCAATAGAGGCAACAGCACATTATCCATTTGTGGGCTGATGGAAAAATCCATGCTGGTATTTGCTTCCTTTTCGGCTCACAGTTCTGATTTTGGGAATCTTGTATCAGGGAAAATCTTACATGATTTAGGATGCAAATGATTTTTCCACCTTCTCTTCTTTTTTTTGCATGAGAAGATGCCCAGGTGTTGGTGAGTTTGTTGTTTCTTCCTAGCTCATGTCTTTGCGTGTCTCCCTCTGTAAAAGGAAATAATGATTGCCTTTTCTCCTCTGTGCTCACATCTCTTCCTTCAGATGATCTTAGCGGGTCTGGGGGCTGGTTGAGAAGGTTGCTCTGTGGAATGACCATCCCTTGGAGCAGCTTGTATGTTCCTTCACCCTCATTCACCATCTGCATGCTGGGAAAAATACGTGGGAAAAATCTTCCAGCTGTGTCTCACTGTGGCTGGTTTGTACCCACTGGTGTCATTTTCTCCTTTTTTTTCCATGTAGTGATGGCAAAATCCCACTGGCCAGACCATGATATGCTTTTGAGCAGTAGGAAGGGGGGAAAATCAGGAATGTCATGCTGACAGGAAGGCTCTTGGGAACATTAGGTCTCCCATTTCTCTGCTGGCACAAGCAACCCTGTCCTGTAAGCATTCGCTGCTGTTATTCCTGATGGGAAGCTGTTCACACTCTTGCTTCTTGCAGTGAGAAACTTTTTGTTTCTAGCCCTTGGTTATCTTAAAAGGAATCTTGATCCTGAGCATATTCCATTGGAAGGCTGCTGCTTCCCTTGGTGCAGAACCCAGTAGCCCTGGCATGAGGTGCCACATTTTCCTCCTGAATCCAGGGCTTTTAAAAGCATTTGGAGGCCTGAGGTGTCAGGTGAGCAAAATAAAACAGAATGATGGGCTGCCAATATCCTTTCCACAGGGAATTGATGTGGTGTCAGTGACACGTGGGAGAACAGAGGGGGAGATGGATTGTGCTACTCCAAGCCTGATGCTGTCGGAGGATGCCGGGTGTTGGAAGGACAAAGTGGCCTCTTGCTACAAGCCTGTCCAAGACCCGGAATTGATTGATTAGTCCCAGGTAAAGAGGCTTTCCCAGATTCTTCTCTCAGAGCGTGAAGTTAAAGTTATAACCCAGGAATAGCTGTTCCAGCTGGCTGGGCAGTGATGAGCCCTCTGGCCAGCTCGGGCTCTGTGGAGTGTTTAGAGCTGCCAGCTTTGTACCACAGCTTGGGGCTTAGTCCTGTTAAACACATGGGAAGGATCCAGATTTGGCTGAGCGGGAGCAGAGCAGGTGGGGAGTTTGGCTGTCAGCAGATCACCCCAGCAGCTGGTGGCACAAATCCAAAGGCAGCTGCTTATCCTCAGGAAGGGGCTGTTGCTGGGGCAAGTCAGACTGACATGGAAAAAGCTGCTCCTATGGCTGGAGTGGCAGGAGAAGGGTTTTATCTAGAGCAGGAGTTCAGCAGGCACAGCGGGACAGGGAATTCTGGGGTGCAAGAGAGACTTGCTCTGTTTAGAGTGATAGTGTTGTTTTTTTTCAAATCCAAAATCATATAAAAATAACTCTGCTGCATGGCCAGACTGGAAATCTCCCTGTGTTCCCCACAGCTGCTCAGGACTTGGGAAGACAAAAAAAATCACCCAGCAAGGATTGAACAACCCTGAGCATCTGTCTCCCTTCGATCCCTTCAACACAGTCCTGATCCCTGCTTGCCATGACATGTCTTTCCCTGCCCACAGCAATGGCTCTCGGGAACACCAGGCTGAGGAGAGCAGGTCCATTCAGCCCTGGCTTTGGAGATTGCAGCCCTTCTCCATTCTGCTGCCTTGAATGGGAAAAATATTGGGAGGCTGAAGAGAAAAAGAGGATGGGAGGCGTATGATAGGGATTAGATCCTTCTGAATGCAATTTTGCATATTCCAGCTTGGGTTTTGGAGATCGTGCTGGTAGGTGGGGTTTCTGCAGGGAGTGAAATATCCCCTCTCTGAACATATCACCCATCAGTCCAGGAAGTCATATTCCAACTCTGCCTTCCTTGATGTCCAGGGGATCTTGCAGTGCTCGTGTCCCACCTCCCGAGGTGTCCAGGGGATTTCCACCTTATGCATTCCTCTCTCCCCATCGCACCTCTGGGCTGGGAGGCAGCATGAACTCTCTCCTGTTGGATGGGACAGTGCCTTTGTGGATGTGTCCTGCTCTATTAAGAATAACACCGTGGTGGTGGTGAGTTTTTTTTAGGAGCTGATTGTTCTGGAGCAGTGGAGTGCAAGACGTGGGGGGAGGCGGCGCCAGTGCAGCCAAGTAGAAAGTAATGAAATGGAGCCTGAGCGAGCAGAATGGAGGGGAAGGGGCAGAGTGACAGCATGAAGGAGAATCTGTGGTTCACCTTCAATCAGTCCCTGCCTTGCCGGGGTTCTCGCAGGCGCCCATGTGCAGCTGAGCGTGCGCGGGCAGGAGCGGAGGCAGCGCCCTGTCAGGAGCTGTTAGGAAATACATTTGTCACCAGCGGGGCAGGGACCGGAGCGAGGGGAAGGAGGCGGCCGTCAGTGGGGCCTCTGATTTATTGATGGCTTTGGATCGCTCCTGTCTTGGGAAGAGCTCGCCTAGGGGGATGAGTGGCAAGGTGTGGAAGGAGTGGGCCCAAGTGTGGTATTTGTGGCTCCTGCGCCTTGTTAACTGCTCCCAGGGGCTGCTCATCCCAGAGAGGGTCTTCATCCACATCCCAGCAGAGCTGGATGGTGGAATTTGCCCCCATTAATAGTTCCCACAGGTTAGCAGGAGTTGCAGCTGAAAAATATCTGTCCCATAGGGACCTGGTTTAGTGGTGAACATGGTGGTGCTGGGTTAACAGTTGGACTTAATGATCTAAGAGGTCTTTTCCAACCTTACTGATTCTATGACTGTTCCTCTCGGGAAGAGTTTCATTGGTGTATTGGCCCTCCTGGCCAGCTGCTTTCTCCTGCTGCCACTGGTTTACCTGTGGATTCTGGTGGCTCCTCTGAGCTCGTTGAGGACATGTCTCTCTGCACCCACTCAGCAGCAGATGACTATTTTCATGGAGTCTCACTCCCAGTTCCAGTGTGTGATCTTCCTCTTCCAGACTCTGCCATCTGTCTTCAAAGCTTTTCTCCCTCAGAAGTTTGAGTCCCTGGGCTCCTACCTGTGTATTGTGTTCTTCAAACGTGGCTTAGTGTCTTTCCAAAGAAGAGCTCTCATGCTTTGGAAAGCTGATGGCTTTGTGTAGCCTTTGGAGAACTGTGCATGATAAGGGAATTAACTGGTTCTGCCACAAGCTTTTGTCTTCAAGAGCAAATTCTTGGCTGTAATGTGACAGCACTAAAAATGCCATTTCCATCATCTTGTGAGTATGACAGCAGGTAGGTGATCCACTGGTGAGATAAGAGATGAATATTGTGCTTTGGGCAATAAGGGCATGATGAAGGTTGGGAACTTGTTCTGGACATGGATGAGGTGCACGCAACAGGCTTCCAGCTGTTTGTACTTCCCAGAAGTCTTAGATAACACAGGTGCATTTTTATCCATGTAGGTTCCCTTCCTTTCTAGGTTTGGAAGAGGCTGCTGAGCTCCGAAGCTCCCCGTATCAGTGTCTTCATGGCAGTGCCCACCATCTATGCCAAACTGATGGAATATTACGACAAGCATTTCTCCCAGCCACAAGTCCAGGATTTCGTGCGGGCCTTTTGCCAGGAGAACATCAGGTGGGAGAGCAATGCCCCTGTGGGCAGGGGCTGCTGGTGCCTGGGTATCCATACCATGGATCCTCCAGGTTTTCCTTTTAGCACCAGCTCTTTCAGTGCTGGTTGTTGTGCCTTAGTGTCTCTTTGACAGGAACAAGGGTGACATTATTTAATTATGAGCCACTCTTGCATGGTAAAGCCAGAAGGGGCTCGTTGTCTGTGTCACCATGTGTAACACGTGGCTGAGGACTTTGTCCTGCAGCCCATGCTTGTATTCCAGGACCTGTTTTAGGAGACTGTCCTGTCTTAACTTAAACCCCATATCAGACAGAGCATGTGAGGAACATCTTTGATACCGGTTAAAAGGCTTCGGGGGTTTCTATCTTAAGGTTTTACATAGGAGCGGACTTTATGTGACCCTGTTAGGTTGCAAATTCCCTGAAGCAAAGGTAATCTTGGATACTCTCTTACCTGGGCTTTCCTTGTGCAGGTTAATGGTGTCAGGCTCAGCAGCTCTGCCAGTGCCTGTCCTGGAGAAGTGGAAGAGCATCACTGGGCACACCTTGCTGGAGAGGTATGGGATGACTGAGATTGGGATGGCGCTTTCTAACCCTTTGCATGGAGTCCGTGTCCCAGGTAGGAGTCTCCAGAGGGTGCCCACTCACTGTTTGGAGGTGTGTGCTGGGAAGTGGTCGTGGGTTTTATCTGCACAGAGTCTATACATGAGTGAGGAGCAGGCTACAAGGATGCTGGTGGGGGAATTGGCCTTGGGAAGCCAGGACATGGATGTGTGGGAAGTGGCTGATTGTTCCTTGGGATCAAAGCTGTGTGTGCAGAGCTCACAGTGGAGCCCACTGGCCTGAGCAGCCAGGTTGGCAGAGTCCATATTGATGCTTTATTACTTCCAAAATCATAGTGAATTGAAGCACTGGGACTGTTTCTTCAGCTCCCGCTCCCTGGAGCTGTATTTCTGTGTGGTGTCACACAGGATTCTCCACACAGCAGTGCTTGTCCAACCCATCAGTGCTGAACACTTAAAATAGGATGTCTGCTCACTCTTATTTTAGAGCCTGTTTCTTGCCTCTTAAGGAATTAGAATTGTCACACTTCAGTGTACTCTCTGGTCCTGTTCTCTCCTTGTCCTCCCCCCCTTCTCTTAGCTACACTTTATGACTCCTCTTGATATCTGTACTTCATGTAACCTAGAAATAAATTGATCTGAACATTACAAATATAAAATGCCCCCACCCTCCCCTGGTTGGAGCATGGCCATCTGTGTGCTGAGCACCCACCCCGTGCCACCTGCCTCCCCGCACACTGTCTGTGCAGACATGGCACCATATGCAGCCTTTTGGGGGTCGTGGGGGGCTGTCCTGGGTGTCACAGCTTCCCACAGCACCTCAATCCCATGGGATGCAGAAACTGGACCTCGCAGGATTCACATAGGAAAAGGGGAAGCCGCAACTCCCCCTCACTGACTCCTCAACCCAAGAACAGCTTGAAATACAAACTCTATTTTACTTTTGCAGAGTAACTCGCATTCCCCCACTCCATCTCAGGCAGTTTTCCCTCCCTCCAGAAGCCCCATCCCTGCAGGCAGGAAGGGAAGCAGGCAAGGAAACAAGATTCCCACCTGCATTAGCTTGGACTGTGAGCCCTGCACTGCAGGGTGGCGGTGCAGAGATCATTCCAGTGTCCCTGTGGCCTGGTTATATTTGCTTTTTATTGATCTTCAGGAGGGGAAATGAGTGGAGGCTCTAGAAATTTCCCAGGAGACTAAAAAAGACAGGAAATAAGACTGGCAAGACAGAAGTTGGCACCCAGATGGGCAGCTCCTGCCCCAGAGCTGGGTGGCTGTGTTCCTGAGACATCAACCCTGAGGATATTGGGGTCTGCAGGGGACCTGGGGTTAAATCCTCTCATGCAGCCAGAGCAGAGGGGCTGGGGACTGTTACTCCAGCCCCATGCAGGGGCTCCTGTGGCCCCAAGAGGAAAGAGAAGCATCTCGTAAAGGTGTGGATCAGCAAGAGACCATACAGAGAGGAGGCTATAATTGAATAGGCTTGATTAATTTATTTCAGGCAGTGTCAGCTGGGAAGCAGATGGGTGAAGCTGAGGCATAATTTACTGGAGCTGTGAAAAAGCTTTTGATCTAGTGCCCTGTTAGAGGCTGGGCTGGGAGGTCACCACGTACCACAGAGCATCCAAGTCAAATGTGATGATAGGCTGGGGACAGGGGACATTTGTCAGCAGATTTCTCCTGGAGTGGAAGCAGCACATGCCCTTCTCTACTGCTTTGACCTGTTGGAGAGGGTCCAGAGGAGGCCACCAAGATAATTAGAGGGATGGTGCATCTCTCCTATGAGGAAAGGCTGAGAGAATTGGGATTGTTCAGCCTGGAGAACAGAAGCTTTGGCATGACCTAATTGTGGCCTTCCAGTGCCTGAAGGGAGCGTCAAGGAACATGGAGAGAGACTATTTACAAGGGTCTGGAGTGACAGGACGAGGAGGAATAACTTCAAACTGAAAGATTAGATTAGGTTTAGATTAGATATTGGGAAAAATTTCTTCCCTGCGAGGGTGATGAGGCCCTGGCACAGGTTGCCCAGAGAAGCTGTTGGACAGAGCTTGGAGCAACCTGGGATAGTGGAAGGTGTCCGTGCCCATGGCAGGGAGTGGAATTAGATGATCTTAAAGGTCCCTCCCAACCCAACCCATTCTATGATTCTTGAGCCTCTGAGCAGAGATTCTGGGGCTTCCCTTGCCCGCTTCCACCTGCTTGGTGTGGCTGGGGAAGGGTCAAGTCCTCAGACCCTGCTCATCCTGCTGATGTCCCCACTGGTGTCACTAGCAGCATGGCACTTCTCTCCACCCACAGCACAGGTCTGAAGGGGCATGAAGGAGAATGTGGGGGCTTTAATTTTCAGAAGAAACAAAGATGAAAGATTTGAAAGATAAATGTTTGCTTGTATATGGTTAAAACCCTGCTTAAAATGCCTCTGTTTTCACCAGCTCTCATTCTAATCCCCCCTGGTGCTGTTACTGTGAAGGGAGATGAATAATTCATGGCCGGAGAATGCCTCACTGGGCCTAATCACCACTTTAATTGGAGGTTTAGATCAGAGGCAGCTAATAGCTCCTACAGCGGGGACTCCGTGTATTGTTGACAGTGAGATCGTTGAGTGCCTTATCGTTGGCCTGTTTCAATTCTCCCAGGACACCTCGGCACATAACAGCACCGAGGTACCCAGATACCGAAGGACACAGACCACGGGGCCAATTAAATTTATCTGGGAAGAGCTGACAACTTTTTTAAACAGAGGAGAACCGGTGAAAGAATAGTAGTGTCACTCCTTCCTGCCCGCAGCCCGGCTGGTGCCACCTGTGCCTACACCGCGGGCATGGTGCCAGCAGCTCCTAACAGTCAGGAACCTGCAAATTGGAGAGAGCTGGAGGGAGCAAGAGGGGAAGGAGCAGGGATTTCTCCCCAGTTTCCACTCAGGATTATGTCTAGGGACAAAAGGAAGCCAGTGCTAAGTGTTGACACCCTGCTGATCACCCCCGATTGTGGTCTGAAGCCAGGACATCCAATGCTGTTCCTTTGGGAATGGGCTCAACCTTCTCTTGACCTATTGGAGTTGGCACAGTGTGTATTTTGATGTGGTGGATGGGCCTGGGAAGCTCTAGTCATTGTTTTTACATGAATTTTATTAGTACTGTCAGGTTTGTGTAGTTCTAATCAATGATATGAGCTTTTCAGCCTTTACAGATGTTGAATTCCAAGTTTGTAATTTTTCCTAAATACCAGAAAACCTTTTCCAGACCCAATATAAGGAAGCAGCTCTCCACCAGGGACTTGTTTTACATGTAGATTTTTGCTTTAGCCAAGTAGGAAACAAAGTGGTGGAGCTGTATTTGTAACTGTGATCTGAAAACACTGTGTGGGTAACACGTCACTTCTACATGGCTTAGATTTGCCAGCACTGTCCTGAGCTTTGGTGTTCCCTTCTCAAAGACTGAGACTAGAAGTGGGCACTAATCCTTGAGTCCTGCTGCCTATGAATCACTCCATGACATTTCCATGCTGAGGTCAGCAGCTTTCATCCTGGGAAGAAGGATCTTCCAAGGAAGGCATCCAGCTGATCTTGATTTTGAAAAATTCCAAGTCTATGAGAGCCCATGTCAATTCCTTCTCTGGTTTATGCTCCCTCCATGAGCTTTCCAGGACAGACTTTGTGGTGTCTGCCCACTGTCGGGTGCCACGTTTTGTGAGCGGGTAGAAGTCTGTTCACCCAAGGCATTTTTCACCCTGGAGAAACTGTTCCCATAGAAGTCTAGAAGGCGGCTTCAACAAGCTTCCATGCAACACTGATTGTGTTTTCTATGACTTGTTGTCTGCTTTGAGGTCTCTTGGAGTCTCTCGTAGCAGGTTTTAAATACATATGGTGTGATTTTTGGGGCTGGCCTGTGCAGAACCAGGAGTTGGACTTGATGATCCTTGTAGGCCCCTTCCAACTCAAATATTCTGTGATTCTCTGATTCCATAAATACCTCAGCGTGGCACCTCAGGGCACTTCTGGCTCATGGCTCCCTCTTCACCCTACTGCAACCCTCTGTCTCAGGCTTTTGGCAGTGTCTGGCCAGGAGATGGGAGCAGCCCACGCAATGCTGGTGGTGAGAAGGAAAGACCTGGCTGTGTGTTGGCTGACCTGAATGCCGGAGGCAGTTCCGAGCAGAGCAGACACGGATCACAGAGCTGCCACGTTGCTTTCTGTTTATTTCTTGCCAGATTTGCTAATTGTTCGGGTAGTTTCACTGCAATAAAATCTCACTCCCTCATAGCCCATCTGCTCTTGGCTCATCCTGCAGGGATGCCATAAATCTGGGCTACGACGACATATCTATTTCCATGGCAACTGACCAGTGTAGCAAACAGAATCATGATGTCACGGATAGCAGATCTCCAGGGCTTGAAGAGGAGAATGAGACCAGGATAAGGAAAGTGTCACTTGAACCCAAATGCCTGAAATAGAGGTGACAAGGGGAAGACAGCACTGAGCTCCAGGTCCTGCACACCCTGCTGTAGGGACTTCTCAAGGTGAAGCTGATCCTGGCAGACTTGGAAAGCACCAACTGGAGAAAAATTGATCATCTTCAGGGAGAAAAATTGATCATCTCTTCAAATAAAAAGCACACTTACCAGTTCTAGAATCATAGAATCCCAGAATGGTTTAGGTACCACCATCCAGTACCACTCCCGGCAAGGACACCTTCCACTAGACCAGGTTGCTCCAAGTCCCATCCAACCCTTGAACAATTGCAGGGATGGGACAGCCACAACTTCTCTAGGCAACCTGTGCCAGGGCCTCACCACCCTCACAGGGTAGAATTTCTTCCCACTATCCCATCTAACCCTGCCCTCCTTCAGCTTAAGGCTATTCCCCCTTTTCCTGTCACTCTGTGCCCTTGTGAAAAGTCCTTCTCGAATTTTCCAGTCCTCGTGAGCCAGAGATTTCTCTGAGCTGTTGTCCCTTTCCCTGCTCACAGGGGATGAAGGTCACAGGCCTCATTTTGCCACAAGAGCCATCTTGTGCCGCTGAGATGCCGAGCGAGCCCTGCTGAGCCAGCAGATGCCCACAGCTCCTGGTTGCTGCTGAGCCCATCAGACAGGTCACAGGAACAAAGCTGCCCTTTCTGCTGAGCTTTCAGGTGCTCCCCAGGAAGAGTAAGCACTAAACCAGGGGGTGGGAATGCTGCAGGTTGGTCACAGAACCATCTTGGAGCTCAATAGCTGACACTGTGTCAGCTTCCCTGGCTTTGAAAATTGAAACCTGTGGAAGAATGGTATGGTTTTGATCCCTGCTTTTCTCCTGTGATGTTTTCTATACAGTGTATTGATGTCTCCTAAAACTGAGATAATCCCTTGCAATTCTCACACTGTTAAGCCTTTGCCTCCCCTGTCAGGTTCAGACTGTAGAGGAGCCACCGGAGTAATCACTGTGCTCTTTTTTTTCACAGCTTTGTGTAGGTTTCATGGTACTTTTTTAAAAAAAAAAAAAGAAACAGCTTCATTACTGAGCTACGAAGCTGTGCTGAAGTCTTCAAAGACTGGCCAAGAGAGGCTGTTCAGGGCTGGAGACACATTTGTTTTCTGAGGCATTTCCAGCACTGCCTGCTCAGCGAACAACAGCATATTGCACCATTGTGACATTTGCATGCAGACACACGACGTGATCGAAGCCTTCCTGAAGGGTAACCCCCTGCTAGGAAGTTCTTTAGTGCCAGCACAGTCTGCAGATGCCATTGATAGACGAGCAGCTGCTCTTTCGCATCCTTGATTTTGTGATTTCCCAGAGGCTGTCCACTGTTCCCACCTTGTTTCCCTCTGTAGGTTCCGTGGGCACCCCTCTCCCAGGGGTGGAAGTGCGCATTGCCACTGAGACCTTGAAGAATGGGGCTCGTTCCTACACCGTCCATGCTCAGGGGGATGAGAACAGCACACAGGTAGTACTCAGCCATGTTTGCTTCACTTTGAAAAGGTCTGCACTCTGAAAAGGTCTTCACTCATGAAAAGTTCTCTCCTTCCCAGTCCTCTGAAACCTCAAGGACTGAGGCTTCCACTGCTGTAATTCCCAGGGAGTCAATTATGCTATTGAAAGGTTTTTGTATTCTTTTTCTGGGTTACTGTAGCCATGGTACTTTATGGACTGAACAAGTGCTGACCACTGAATCACAGAATCATGGAATGGTTTGGGTTGGGAGGGACCTTTCAAGGTCATCTGGTTCCACCCCCCTGCCATGAGCAGGGACACCTTCCACTAGACCAGGTTGCTCCAAGCCCCATCCAACCTGGCCTTGAACACTTCCAAGGACGGGGCAGCCACAGCTTCTCTGGACAACCTATTCCTGTCCCTCACCACCCTCCCAGGGAAGAATTTCTTCCAAATATCTAAATCTAGTCTCTTTCAGGGAGAAGACCTGGTCTAGTGGGATGTCCCTGCCTGTGGAATGAGATGAGCTTTAAGATGGTCCTTCCCAGCCCAAACCATTCTGCGATTCTGTGATTGGTGGCCTTGGGGATTGCATTCATTTTGAAACAGCACTGGGGGAAACCCATCAGGTTTCCATGAAAATCCAGCTCCATGCTGAGCTCCAGCTGCCACATGATGTCTGCACCTGCAGTTCTGGTATCAGAAGTTGGATATCTTGGATGGGGATGCGTGATCTGCCCCCATCCTAAATATCTGACTGCAGAAGCAGCCCAACCCAGGGCTGGTCCAGGCTGTCCTGCTGCCTCAGCCCTTTCTCTTACCACAAAGCTGAACAAGGTCTGCATTCCTGCCACATTCCCTCATTGTGGGTGCAGGTCGTGTCGCTCCGTCAGATCAATCCCCAGGTGATGTCCGGGCTCGGCTGAGCAGATAAATGTGTGTGTGAGAGAAATTACAGCCGTGTGGCTGTGTGGGTGGGAGACAGGCAGGCGTGAGATTCAACCTGAAATACGTGGCTTCACTCATTCCTCTGGGGAAATTGCTTCTCATCCAGCCACCTACATGCCGAGGGTTTGAAAGGAGCTCCCAGCCTATGCAGGGTGTACAGAGACACTGCTGGGGTAAGCACTGATGAAAGGCTCAAGAAAACCTTTTATTCTCTAAGTTCTCTGTGCTAGCAGGTGGAGGAACCAGCAGGACCACAGGCAGCCCCGTGGGTGTGTTGTGCTCGGGCTGGGGCAGGTTGTGTTCCATGTTCTGATGCTGAATGAGCGCTGGATCCCACCCCAGACATGTAAAACTAGCCCGGGGGAAGGATGAGAGGGGCCACTCTGGCCAGGGATTATGGCTTTTATTAAAAAAAAGGTTTTCTGCTCTTTCCTCTGTGTCACTGCTGTGGTGTGGCTGAGCAGTGGGCAAAGCAGGAGACTCACCACATCCTATTTTTGTCACTTCCCTGGATGGGTGTTATGTTTCACAGGTTTGTCCCCTCATCCCAGAGTTAGCTCTTGGCCTTTTTTTTTCCACTTGTGTGGAACTGAGACATGAAATATAACATGTCCCTTTTAATAATGATCCTATAATGCTTTTTGTCCCCTAAGGGATCTCTGGGCTCTTTACAGATTAGGTCTCAGACACGAGAATACCCAGAGTGCAGCTACTTCCAGGATGAAATGTGGATGTTGTTCTACTGAATTATGAGAGGAAAAAAAAAGGGATGTTATTTTTCTGCTCAATACTCCTTCCCCTTCCTTCTCATTGCATTGAGTGACCAGAGAAGGGGAGCCCAGCTGACCTTTGTCTGATGCTGGAAGCCCGTCATCCCCTCAGGTGCGAAAAACAGTCACTGTTCCCAGTGTGTCTTGGCACAGGCGGATGTGTGGAGATGTCAGAAGTTTGGGTTTTATATGCCCTGGGCATGCAATGTTACTTTCCATGGCGTGGCCAGGCAGGCAGGCAGGTGGTGACACCCCTCTGCTCCCAGGGATGCTATAATTCCTCTGCCTCACACCTGAGGTCCCGGGCAGAGCCTCACCTGCTGCCTGTCCCTGCCCCGAGACGCGGCTGCTGGCACTGTGTGTGCATCATGCTTGGTTAATAATTCATGTCAGCAGAGAGTACGTCAGTGGAATTTATTTAAAACAAGGAGGATCTGACAGTCCGAGTGCTCGTCACGCTCCACCAGTCAAAGGCCTGACTTTGTTTAAATGAGCTCCTCCACAGCGGAGGGGATGTCCCTGTGATGGGAGGATCCAGTTTGTGTCACCCTGCCTGTGCCACTGGATAACCCGGTGGCCTTTTCCTTGCATATTATGAGAAGGATGAACAAATCCTTCCTCACTCCCTTGCAGGAAGGCTCTGAGCCTTATGGAGTGTTGGTTGAGGGCTGGGAGGTCCACAACGTGGACCTGGCAAAGGCAGAGAGGTCCTGGTGGGAGGGCTGGTGGTGGAACTGGTGACAGTTGGAAATGGCTGGAGGTGAGTCAGGGGAGGTTTAGATTGGATATTCCCTCGGAGGGTGGTCAGGCACTGAACAGGCTCCCCAGGGCCACAGCACCAAACCTGTCTGAGCTCAAGAAGTATTTGGACAACGCTCTCAGGCACAGAGTGGGATTGTTGGGATGTCTTGCACAGGGCCAGGAGTTGGACTCGAGTTGGTCCCTTCCAACTCAGGGAATTCTGTGATTCTGTGAGAGTGAACACTGTGGGGCTGATCCAGTGGGATGCTGAGCACCCCAGTAGGAGTTGGGCTCCAAGCCATCTCTTCCCACCAGGCTCCTGTGAGCAGGTGATCTCCGTACTGGGGGTGAGGCACATTGTCAGGGCAATCTGTGAGGCGTTCACACCTCGGCTGTGCCATGCAGACCCTCCTGACTGTGAGCAGAGCACGCCTGCCTTTGCCAAGGGAATTGTTTGTGGAGCCTCGCGAGGTCACCGCCTTCCCCGCTTGTGTTGGGCTCGGGTTCCTGCCTTCTGCTCCCACGACAACAGACTCTCTTCGAGCTGTTTTTTCCCCGCTAACACAGTCTCTCCCATTAACTGGGGCGTTGAGCCCTTTCCTTTCGCGCCATCGCCCTTTGGACACGTGAGATCCAAACAGGAGCGCGGTGGTGCTGGGGAAGGCGTGTGGGTGGCAGGAGCAGGGAGGTGGGGAGTGTTTCTGCTCTGCCATCCGGGAACTGCCTGAGCTGGCAGCAGGGGACTGCTGTAATTTGCAAAGCTGGTTCCTGGCACACCCTGAAGATCAATAATCTACTTAGCTGAAAGTTTGCTGGATCTCTGTTCTTCCCTTCATTTTCTCCCATGCCTTGATTAGAGTGCTGGATTCCTTTCACACACGTGCTCCAGCCCCTCAGTCTCCTCACATCTCATGAGCCCTGTGCTCCATTGCATCCCAGTTCAGGTTTTCAACTGGATGTTTCTGCACCTTGAGCTGCGAGTTGGTTTCCCAAGCTACACATGGATCAGGCTGTCGACCATGCCCAGACTGAGGCTGCTCCAGCCGGGTGAGATCCCCTCACTGTTCTGTCTGTTCCAGCCAAGGATGCACAGCAGCCTGGGGACACCTGTGACAGGACAGCGTGGGCAGGAGGTGACAGTCGCATTGGACTCACAGTGCCTGCCCTGACAGTGTCCCTACCTCCTCCCTGTGCAGGAGCGTGGGGACACAGAGCCTGATCCCCTGGGAATGCTGAGAGAAGTGCTGGGAGAAGTGCTTCTCCTCTAACACATCCCTGGGGAGCAGAGGTGTGGAAGCAGATGTCAGGAACAGCAACTTTGCCTGTTTTGAGTCATCCCAGATCTTGCTCCTGGAGCCACTTGCATCCGAAGTAGCTCCTAAACTTTTCACCTACCCTAAGCAACTCCCTGTTGAGTCTGTCAGACCATTTAGGCTCAATAATCCTTACCCACAGCTCTGAATGTTTTTTCCCCTGTTTTTTTTTCCCCTTATTTTTTGGAGCTCTTCCCGTGGCTCCGGTGCCCAGGAAAGGGTTACAGCTCTCCAGTGCTGAACGTTTGAGTTTGCTTTGTTCAGTGCAATGCATATTTCATACGCTCAGCTTCCCAGCTGGCAGAGGCCTGGAAACCCTGCAAGCTGTCGGGTATTGTCTCTCTCCTTCTTTAGTTGTTTGTTTGTTGGATTTTTTTGGGTTGTCATTTTTGTTGGATTTCTTTTTCTTTTTTTTTTAATCTCTTCCAAATTGCTCACTCGCACGAAAGCCAAACCCCAGCCCCTGACAATGGGGGTCTCTCAGTAGATAAATGGTTTCACAGCTGTATCCAGCACAGGGCTGTAGCCAGGGCTTTTATGGTGAGTGATTTCCTTGTGACCAGGCTGCGAAGGGAGCTGTGGGGACGGATGGGTTGCAGGCGCTGGCAGCAGGAGGACGCTGTGCCATGGGCTTTGCTCCCCCCTCCAAAGGTTGTAATTATCTCGTTGTTTATCCATATGCAAGCTGTCGTCCTGGACAGAACGGCTCGGCTGTGGCCATCGCTCCCGAAAGCCACCAGCATTCCCGGGCCCCTCCTCCCGTGCCCCCTGTGTCTCTGCCATCTGCTCCCAGCTTGCTGCTGGTTGGCAGCGCCTCGGCAGAGCTGCGGGCACTGGGGGCAGCTGGCACTGTCACGGTGGTTGTGACTGGAGGTCTTGGCATTGATGTCCCTGTGGAGCAGACCGGGAGCGACTCCACCTTGCTCATGTTCATCTGAGATCTCTGGAGAACCGTGGGGAGGTGCTCGGTCACCACTGAGCTGCCGGGACTGTCTTGGAGGCTTCCTCCAAGGACTGGGCACCCCATGGCTGCTGCCCGTGGGTGGTGTGGATTTGGGTACTTGACACCTCTCTGGGGCAGGTCCCATTTGGAGGTGCTGTTGCACATGCATCTCTGTGGGATTTCTCCTCATCCATCCAGGTAGTCTGAAACAGCTGGTGCGATTGTACAAGGCTCTTTTCCTGTATATAGCTCCCGAGAATGGAGATAAGCACATGCCAGCTGTGCCTGGCATTCCTGA